TCTTTCTCGGGGACCCAAATATTCTAAACTTCTGTCACGTCAGATTAGGACTAGCATGACGTAACTTGCCGCCTATTCTCCAAGTCATCATGAACGGCTATCCTTCTTCCAAGTCACTCACCATACTAAATCTCAACTGTTCATTTTATGAAAGAGGATATAATAAAGGTGGGGGCACTAGAGAGACAGTTACGGCCCACAGTCGTTGTCCCCGACGGGGCCTGGCGAGGTTTAGACCGTGGCGCAGGACAACATGGCAGATCACTAGGCTCACCTTTTTCTTCCTTCTTAATCACTGCCAGTGTTGGTTCGTCCCAAGCTAGTAGTCTCACCACTCCACACTAAGAAAATATTCCCCTTTCTCTTAACACTTCCTGGCTGGCTGGCTGGCTGCTTCTCTTTCTTTCTCTGTGCAATGCTGATCATGAACTGCTAGCGGAGCGTGAAGTTCGATAGGGATCTGCTCCTAGGAGAAGGCCTTCTTCCTGGTTTAGATTCGCTTGTGAATGGGTTTTTCTTCTCTGCACGTCTGCATGGAATCATCAGATCACTGGCTCCAGGTATGCCTATAATGGACAGGTTATATTCTTTGCCTCGAATATGGCTTCTGCGAAAATCAAACATTCTTATTTGTGATGAACTTCAACCTCTTTTCTTGTGTTTATCTCGCACATGTTATGTTAAATGTGGAGAAAGGTGATTAATTTGAGAGTGGAATACAGGGATATATACACAATTTAATTAGATGAGATTAGTAGAAGTGATGTCATGTTGCACTCTGCAGCCTATTTCTTTTCTGCATTTTCTTGCAGGAAAAAGGTATGTATTGCTAATGGAAAAAAGAAGGAAAAAGCCAAGGGAAAAAAGAATTTTAGAAGCACGAGGAGAGAAGAAGAATGTAGTAAGAAAAAGACACAAAATGCAGGCCATTATTATATGTGTTACTTAACTTGTTTCTTTTGGTTTGTCTTAGGGCACAATTCACGAGGAATCTGGATTGGATTCATCTTCACCATCAGGAGACATGCTTACATGCTCCAGGCCCATGATAGAGAGGAGGCTAAGACCTCCACATGACCAAGCCCTCAAGTGCCCTAGGTGTGACTCCACACACACCAAGTTCTGCTACTACAACAATTACAGCCTCTCTCAGCCAAGGTACTTCTGCAAAACTTGCAGAAGGTACTGGACTAAAGGTGGTACTCTCAGGAACATCCCTGTTGGTGGTGGTTGCAGAAAGAACAAGAAAGTTTCTAACAAGAAATCCAATAATGACCCATCACATAATAATCAAAACCAACCATTACAGCCTGCAGGGATAGCCACCTCTTATAATCACCATAACAACCCTAAAGACCATCTTCAACTTTCTTTCCCAGATGCGCAGTTTTCTCACATTGGTAACTTACTGGGAAACCCTAATTTCATGCTTGAGAACCCCAGGCCTATTGACTTCATGGAAAGTAGGTGGGAAGGGATAATTGGGAGTACATCTAGGAACTTCCATTTTCTGGGAAATAGTGACATGGGTATGGGAATTGAGGTCGGAGAGACTAATGGTCATCACAATGGGTTGCAGCCAAATTTTCACAGTCTTTGCTCTCCATCGGGATTTGGGGGTATGTCATCTTTTGATGGTAATGACAATAGTGGAGGTACTTATAATATCATGGACTCTTCTTGCCAGAGACTGATGCTGCCATATGATCATGCCAATGAGGACCCAAATGCCACAATTGATGTGAAGCCAAACCCTAAGCTTTTGTCTCTTGAATGGCAGGACCAGGGTTGCTCGGATGCTGGAAAGGAGTCGTTTGGGTATCTTAACGGTCTAGGACCATGGACCGGCATGATCAACGGCTACGGTTCTTCCACGACAAACCCTCTGGTCTAAATCTCACTACTTCAGATGAGTGAGTCTATCACATCTCAGTTATTTCTATATATAAAATATTCCTAAGCCTTTGATAGGAAGGTTCCTGGTTCCTTCTATCTGGGCGGTCTATAGTTTCTGCATTGACTTGGCAAAGGAGTGTGAACAAGAAGCTTCAGAGTCCAATATCGACTGCCTTGGTGGGTTTACTTTTGGTTCATATATATTCGTGTCTTTGTGTGTGTAACATATGTGAAATTAAAGCTTTGATTAGGATTTTGTTGTAACATCGAGGAGGATATGGTAGTTCTTTTTTCGGTTAAAGAAAATGCAGTCAATAGTAGTACCATTATCTTTATAAGTTCTTGTCCCTATGTGCTTTTGTGATATAATATTATGTCCCCAGATTAAACCACGACAAGTTCATCACGCCAGAGAATTTCGTAATGACCCCCTTACATTTACTCTAGGAAAAAAGAAATACGAGGAAAAAGCAATTCTCAGACAGAGATACATATATACTAAGTATTGGTCGTTGATCGAATTTATATATCACATAATAATAAAAAGGTATAGTGAGATTCTCGATGAGACTGGACGAATTGAGAAAGAACTGAACTGTACGTTCATCAGAAAGAAAATAGGTAACAAGTATTGACAAGTCTTTCTACGGGTCCTGATTATTGATATATATACATATATGTATATGATTAAATATCAATGCCATTTTGTGACGGTCATGGCTCACGTATAAAGTGTACAGTGAAACTGTATTAACATTGGTGGGCAAATAGACAGAGTGGATCAGGATCAGGTAACTCAAATCTTTAAGCATGGCTCCTGCTTTTAATAAATTGACTGCTTTTAATCCATTTTGGCAATCAAATAAATGATATATACATGAACAAAAGAAATATAAACCGGTTCTCTCTTTTTATATATGTGACATGTATCTTTATCCCCACCGAATTTTGGGTGATAGCTCAGCCAAAATGAAAGTTTATCGAAGTACGTACAGCAGATCGGTGGAAATCATCGTGATGTGCATGTTTAGGGTAATATGTATGACGTGATACGCATGACGAGCGATTATTGATAAAATGATAATAGACTCTAGCTACAACTGTGCATGTGTTTGGTTAGATTAGAATCTTTCTTTTATGAGCTTAGGCATCAATGGCCTTCAGATAATAATAATAATAATAATAATTAATAATAATTATTATTATAATTATTATATATCAAAGCAATTTTTGGCACCCAAAAACAAATAGTACATGACTACGGTTTTTTAACGGCCATGTGGCTCCTCTGGTATATAATAGGGGGAGGGAAAAAGTAAAAAAAGAAGGAGAAGATCCGGTTGCGTTGTCGTTTAGCGCTCTGGCCAGCGTTATGGCGAAAAACCGATTAAACAAGAAATAAAAGGGGCATTCCGAGAATCGAACTCGGGACCTCTCGCACCCAAAGCGAGAATCATACCACTAGACCAAATGCCCGGGCTTGAGAGCGCGTGCAACAAAAGTATATATAGAAGTAAGGTAACTTATGTTCTACAACCCATCTCACCAGGCAATCAAGAGGATCCGGAGTCTCTGCGCCTGGGTCAGTTCAAGGAAGAACAGATCATACGGAGCAGTCACAATGGAAATGACAAGTTCTGATATTAACGAAATCGAAAATTAAATCTAGACGGTAATGTTAATGGTGATATCTTGATCATAACATATCAACTTAACATTCTGTTCATACATACAAAATGTGAGACCAAAAAAGAGTCTAAGATCTGACACAAATCCACACTACTGATAAAAACAGAAGCTTCATGAACTAATTGAGATAATATAGAATGTTTCTGGAGTATTTCCCCACTATTGAGCATTATTTGAACCGTCAGAATAATGACTACAATGTTTCGTCCAGACCCCTCAACTTCATGAAAACCAGTCAGTCACTCTTCAGAAACACAGTTGAACCATTAACATTGAATACATGGAAGCCTTCTGGCAGGCTCATATTTACAGACACACAGGAGTACATGGTACTTTTAATCAACTTTTCAACCATATTCCTCTGGGCTTTTGACCAGCAAGCTACATTTATGTAACACACAAACACACTTGTGTCTTTGAAGAGTACATTATATTGAATATATATGAGCCTCCCAATGATATTGCAGAAGCTTGCTTTATCAAGATATATATTTAGGTCACAGTGCTACTTACTACTGAATTCTTGTTTGTAATCCCTTAATGACAACGGCCTTTCTTTTGTATTTAAAAAAAAGAAAAGAAAACAAAACAAAACAAAACACACACACAGAGAGACGCAGAAGAAATGTGTCAGATAACAATAATCCCCCGGTACATGTTTCACTCTCACCAACTCCCCCAGATGCATGAGGGTAGGAGACAAAACTCAACAGGATAAAGCAGCTTGAGGCAGAAATATAATAACTTCAACATGCAATGCAATCATGGAAAGCTTATATATAGAACAAAAATTATTACTCTCTCTCATTCCTTATCAATAGCTAAGGTACAGAGAGTGGAATACAAATCCAACTTTTCACAGTTCAGTCTCAGCATTTCCCCCTAACATCAGATACAACAATGTTCAGGCCGGCTTTCCTCTCTTTCCAAATCATTTTATAATTTGCTTCTGCAGATGACTCCAAGCAGCTAATCGGGCATTTTCTACGTAGATGCCTTCATTATCATTGTTATTGGACATATTACAAGAATAAGGTCGAAGATATTCAACTCCAAGCGTAACATCATATGTCTGTCTTTCCTTTTGAAATGTCTGGCAATTCAGGTGACAGAAGCCAAGCTTAGTGATTGAATTCTACAAGATAATTAATCTGTATGCCTAATTGCATCCATTTCGGTGAATTACTGCTTCCTATGTTTATCTGCAAACGAATGGGATAAGAAATGAGAAACATTCTTCATTTATGTAATCTTGTCATTATATACTCCGGCAAGTCAATGTTATATTGTAACAAGACCACCGAATTCAAGAAGATACTTAAAACCGTTAACTTTATCTGAAAATAAAAAATAATATTTATCTTTATGAAATGTTCATTCTGGACCATTGGAATTTTGATCCAATGGTTGTAAAGGAAAGAGGAGGGTAGAAGAGAGGAAGGGTTGGGGAGAGGCTCTTTTCGCACAGGATGCCCGTATCATTCGTCAAAGGTCAGCGTTTATTCATTGTGCTAAGGAAAGTAGTCATCTTCGATGGGCCAACAGCGAATCTTCCCCGAAAGACAAACGGCGACGCTTCGCCGAGAAGCAAACGGCGAACCTTCCCGGTAAGGGAACGATCTGCATCAACCCTTTCCTTGTATTGAAAGCTTGTCCAAAGCATTAAATTTCGAGTTCAAGGGGACTATCGATCATTTCTCTCATCCCAAATACCATGTCCAAGCCAGAATCTCACAGATATCGTGTAGGCTATGCTCTTGAACCCAAAAAAGTCCGTAGCTTCATCCTCAATTCCCTCGTCGATTACGCGAACCAACGCGGCATCGATCTCATACAGATCGACCCCACCAGATCCTTGATTGAACAGGGCCCTTTCGACTGTATCATCCACAAATTATACGGCGAAGATTGGAAGAAACAGTTGGATGAATTTTCGGCGGCACACCCAAAAGCGGTCATAATAGATCGCCCCGACTTGATTGAGCGCCTTCACAATCGAGAATCGATGCTCGAGGTGGTGAATCAGATCAAAATTACCCTGGAAAACGGCACCGTCGGGATTCCCAAACAGTTGGTCATCCAGGAATCGAAAACACTCGACGATGCCAACGCAATCGAGGAACTAGGTTTAAATTTCCCCCTTATCGCGAAGCCTTTGGACGCTGATGGAGGCCCTAATTCCCACAATCTGTCTTTGGTATTCGACCAAAGCGGGCTCAAGACATTGAGTTTTCCTGTGGTTCTTCAAGAATTTGTGAATCATGGAGGCGTTATATTCAAAATTTACGTTGCTGGTCAACGCATAACTTGCGTCAAACGGAAGTCCCTACCTGATATACCAGAGGAGAAGCAGAAAACCATGACTGGTGCGCTGCCATTTTCGCGGGTATCTAATGCGGCCGTCCAAGGGAACAGCCACAACAAGGAAGATGATATTGCCCAGAAAAACATTGAGAAAGCCGAAATGCCACCTGAAAATTTGATAGAAGGATTAGCTAAGGCATTGAAGGAGGCGATGGGCCTTAATCTATTCAACTTTGATGTGATTAGAGACACCAGAGATCCGACAAGGTATTTGGTTATTGATGTCAATTACTTTCCGGGATATGCAAAATTGCCAACTTACGAGTCGTTCTTCACCAATTTTTTGTGTGATATTGCACACCTCAAAACTGCTTAGACAAGTCACAGGATGGAGCTGGGAGCCTAGGATGACGCAAGTGAGCGGACCGAAATAAGCTGACCAAGAATCTGTTGACTTTGATTTTTAACAAGATAATTCTTTTTTGCGGGCGAATAAGAAATGTTAAATAAAAATGGAAAACCCTCCCATTTCAAAGGGTTAAAAGCTGTGCAATATGCTGAGACATGCAAGATTGCACAACAGACGGTTTATTCTAACGACAGCTGCAGCTGTGTATTATTTTGTTGATTTATTTCTTACGGGACCTTGTTAGCCTCCCTTGTGTTTTAACATTTCCTTCTTTGATCTTTGGCTTTTATCCTAATTCATGTAGCATTTGCAATAATAATTAATAAGCACGTGCGTCCTTGGAATATGAAATTTGTTCTCATTTTATTTCTTGACTTCTTGTTTTGGCTTTTCCTGCATCTTGTGAGGTTTAAGGTATTCGAACGTGTAGGCTAAAGTGGAACGATGTGCTCATATAACAGGATATTGTGAAATTATTTTGCCTTCTGGTAATGCACGAAGACAATTTCCTTTGTTAGTTTCTACTGAACCGGGCGAAAAAAGGATAGTTGAAATATCCTACAAGCATGCTTTTTACAATCTTTTCTAGTCTTCTGCTCTTGATAGCATCATTTCAGGATCTAATCCAATTCTACAATTCAAGGATTACTTTTTATCGCATAAAATACCTCCTTGCAAGCATGCTTCACTCTTCGAGCTTCAAATCTCCACTCTGAACCTACTAAATTTCTTTCATTCGGGTCCTTGCCAAACTCCAGGAAAAGCTCCATTCATTACTTCCTAAGAAAAATTTGATAATACCAAAAAATGCAGTTCAGGTGCCAATTCGTGGCAGCTCGAGTAATATATCCTATACCATTCATTTCATTCGCCCTTTTTCTAATGTCTATGGGAGCACCGAACAAAGACATTGCAAGACGTCATCTTTTCCAGTAAACCAAATAGCCAAGAGCAGTCGTCGAAGACTGCCAAGATAAGGACGGGGAAACACGTCTAGATATTGTTATAACGTGAAATACTTTCTCATGCTCAGTGAATCTTTTGAACAAGAGCAATGATGCGACGGGATTATAGGTCATCTAAACCGACATTTTTTCCCGACCAATTAAACAGCCGTATTCGATATTTATTAACCATCAGTTTGTTATAGGGAAGGAATGTGTAAGATTGCTCCAATTGATGCCATAGCATTTTTAGCTCTAGACCCAAGCACATCTTCCCCCAAGTGGTGCCAAAATAAATTAGAGACGACTACATGATTATGCAAAAAATGGTGCAAGCATGCGCAAAGTGTACCTGTTTCCCTTTCAAGGCATTCCGAGTGGCAAGTGGTGAGCTGCCAGGCATTTCTGTATGCAGCAAGATATTAATACAACTTTAAAGTGTCAAACTGGCAGACCCTTGTTCGCCTATTGAAAACCACCATGCAAACAATTAAGTAACAAACCCTAGCCAGTACCACCAGTATTTACTTCATATGATGACACAACAGAAGCTGGCAAAGTAGGTCCAGCAGATAAAGAGTTATACAGTAAGATGCTCAATTGATGGATAACTCACTGATCCTTGACTTGAATTCATTAGAAAATCCAAACAGTGACAGTTTTCATCATCATTCCAGGCATGGATGAAATCAAGCAGCGGCAGCCTTCTCTTCAGATGTTGCCTCAGTGGAAGTTGACTTGGCACGCTTAGCTTCATAGTCTTTAACAGCCGCTTTGATAGCATCCTCAGCAAGCATGCTGCAGTGAAGCTTAACTGGAGGAAGTGATAGGTGCTTTGCAATTTCACTGCAGGATATCCCTTGTCAACTATTTGAAAAATTCCAAAAAACAAAGAAAAGTGGACTGGAACCAAGAACCATGAAAGCATAATCATCGCCTAAAAGGTCCAAAACTCACCAGCAAAAGATTTAAATAATTTTTGAAAAATCAATATCAATATTAATTATGCAGGGATTGTTATGATCGGCACCTAAGGAGATGAAAACTAGAAGATATCATATGATAGAACATCAACACACTTTCCAGCTTTAAACAGAAAAGTGACCAACACAAAATTCTATTTTATATGTAAGCAGTCATGTTGTCTTCCACGGCCAACTGTTCATACAGAACAAAAATAATCCCTCACAGAATACTAATACATGTATCTCAGATTCAACTACTCTTCTTCCCTCCAACACATTTAGTCACACTCTAAAAGCAGCTCAGGATGCAGCAGATTCTATCTAGCACAATCCCTACAGCAACGCCATTGCTTCTCCATTGGGAAGCAAGTAATTCCAATGCACAACCTGAAGCTTTCCATTTTCAGCCTTGGAGTAAAATTTGACTAGTAATTTAGTATAATCCCTCTTTGAAAGAAGAAAGCCAGACATAGGGAGAATGAGCAATAGTTAACAATAACAATAAATGATATATCTCATCAACCAAACAACGGGGGAGACCTTATTTACAAAAGTTGTGATTCCACTCTTCAGAAGCACAACTCATGTAAATATGGCCTCTCCCGTGGAGGAAAGGGTGACAGAGAAGGGAGAGGAAAATTCACAAAGGTAACCTTCAAACTTGAGAATTTCAAATGACAGACGGAATTATTGGGGCAGAGGTGGTAGGTTTAATCAACATGGAAGCTGATGGACCTACTGGTGGATTGGCAATATTGCACAAATTCGGAAGACACGGATCTGGTTGGCAAATGTCAGGGTTGAAGGGGTAAGTCACAAAATCCTTTGACTTTTTTTTTTGGGGGGGGGGTGGATCTGAGCAATTTACCCAAAATTTTATTTTGTACAAGCGCTGTCCTGTTTCCTACCACAATTAACCATTTACACTGATTAAAAAAAGATCTAGTCTCTGACATAATATGTCTATCTCTACTTCACCCCGAGCAAAGGTCCAGAGCTGAAGTTATCAGGACCTAGGACATAGTTCATACTCTGCTTGCCCAAATTAAACAATACAGATCAGCACTGTAATCATAGTTGTGCTAGACTGTTATTGTTCCTTTCCAGGGGTCCAAATGAGGATGACAAGTGACAACCCTGACCTATTATGCTTCTGATAAAAAAAGAAATTCAAGTCGCTCAGGAAAACTACATGCATGTGACTCATACGCTCCAAGAGTTAAGAACAGATATACTTACGTATTTTTAATGGATAAAACTTCTTCCATTTGCTTTCCTTTCACCCATTCAGTAGCTGAGAGTGAGAAACAAAAAAAAGTTAATAACGTATTTAATGAGATAAGTTACGCTTGAATAAGCTAATACACACAAAACAATGCATAAAACGCAATCAATAGCTATGAGATATTCATTTAACGCAATCCAGGTAACCACTTCTAGACATCAACCCCCCATATGTAATAACCACGACCATTCGCAACCTTACACAGCTAGGCAAGACAAATGGACCAAAATGAAAAAACTGCAGGCGAAAGGACTTTCCTGAACAGAACTCATCAAATTTGATTGATACTTACAAGCAGACGTCCCGTTTAACGTCATATTATCTCTTTCGTAGTGCTCTCTAGTTTTCCACAACAGAAAAGAACCGTAGCCCATTGATCCAATCATATCCCCAGAATTCAAGACATGTTTACCGATCTTCCATAATGGAAAACCGAAACTAGCACGTCAGAAATGAATTTCCCAACAAACCGTCCAAAGTACGAATGCAAAGGACCACATACCCACAGACGAAGACGCAATCGCCGAACCACAGCCGAAGGTCTTAAAGCAAGCATCAACAATCTTTCCGGTCTTTTCATCAACCCTAATCTGGAGTTTCATGACATCACCACATGCAGGTGCCCCGACCAGGCCCGTACCGACGGTGGGGTCATTCTTGTCGAAGGATCCAACATTCCGCGGATTGTCATAGTGATCAACAACCCTCTCGTGGTAGAATCGGGGCAGAACCTGGAGCGCCGGTGCCGGCACCTCCCGCGATGCTGCTCCCAAAATTCTCTTTGAAACCAGCCTCAGCATTCTCCGGTCGATTCCAATCCTCTTCCTCTCCAAGGGTGCTTCTTCCTCTTAATTTTGCAAATAAATATCGTTGCTCAATTTTTGTTGTGAAAAAGACTAGTTAGGTTCGGATTTGGGTATGTACGTGGAGGCTCGAGGGATCTCTTTGTCCAACATTACTGGATCAGGTGGATCCTTGATGTATATGCATGCTACTATCTTGGGGCGACCGGTGCCACTATTCTGTGACGCTGCAACTCGAATGATACCGCCTTCCAAAGCCCATTTCTGGAGCCACTGATGACATGGGCTTCATTGGGCCTTACCATCTTGAAGGGCCCAATGTTCTGTTGGCCCAACTTATCCGTTAAATAAAAATATGGTAATCGAAATTCAGCAACACTATGTTGAGTTTTTTTTTTTTTTAATATAGAAAGGCAAGCAAGAAGCTTGAGAGTTACAAAAAGCATCTCGGGTTACTGACCCATTTGTCCCTGTCTAGCATCAAAATACTCCCTACAATAATTCGGGATATCCTGTAGAAATTATACTCTTGCTCAATATGATGAGCCATCGTAGCAAGCTTATCGGCACATCCCAGATTTTCCCTGAATAAGTGCAGGATTTCAATGTCCCATTTATCAAATATCAAATTTCTCAAGGCTTGTACCGTCTCCCTCAGAGGATGTGAGGGCTCACAATCGGTCAGAAGTAGGTGAAGAGCCTCAGCCGAATCCGTGTATAGCTTTATTTTTACTATACCCCATCTGCTTGCAAAGTTGCAGTCCAGTTAGCATAGCGTGTATCTCCGCAACTGTTGAGGGCATGGTACCCC